AGTGTGGAGTAGTGACCTTTGGATTTAGCTGTGCTAATGACGTTAATGACTTTAATAAGGGCAGTCTCAGTAGAGTGGAGGGGGTGGAAGCGGGACTGAAGTGGGTCAAGGAGAGAGTTGGAGTTGAAGAAGCTTTGAGGAAAAAGGGAGCAGGGATATAGGATGATAGTTAGAAGGGGAGGATGGGTCAAGACTTGTTTTTTTTTTTTAAGATGGATACTACAGTAGCATGTTTAGGGACAGCAGGGACAGTGCCAGAAGAAAGAGAGCAGTTGAAGATGTGTGTTAAGGAGGGCACAAGACAAGAGTAGAGAGATCTGATAAAGTGAGACGGGACAGGATCAAGCAGGCAAGTGGTGGGGCAAGAGGAAAGATAAGCACAGCCACCTCTTGTTCAGTAGCGTGGGAGAAGGTCGAAAGGGTTAGAGAGGCATGATACAGGTGTGGTTGAGAAAATGAGGGGCAAGGTGGTGAGAACTCTCGGTAAAGTAGCATGCAAAACTATCAGCTGCAAGGTTAGTTTGGGGGTAGCAGCAGCAGGGCAAAGTAGAGAGTTAAAGGTATCAAAGAGACGACTGGGATTGCGTGAGCATGATATAATAAGAGAAGAAAAGTATGACTGTTTGGCAAGGGCTGTGCTGAATGAACGCAAGATGAATTTGTAGTGTAGTAAGTCTGACTCAGTGTGAGACTTCCTCCAGCAGAACGGGAACATCTCTGCAGGTAGTGTGTTGATTTAGTGTGTCACTTTTCGGGGCGTATCCTCCTCGAGGTGCGTATTTGGAGAGGGGCTGCAGCGTCCAGGGCTGAGGTGAGGGTAGAGTTTTATGAGGAGATAGCCTTTGAGGGACATGATAGCCAGTAGCAGGAATGGATAATAGTTGGGAATCAATATCAGCTGACAGCTGCTGGAGGTTTATAGAACTCAGATTCCTTCTGAGTTGAGTGGGGTTAGGCTGAGGTTGTTGGGGGAGGGGGCTATTGAGAGCAAATGATAGGACATGATGATCTGATAGAGGAAATGGAGTGTTGCAGATGTTAGAGACTGTACATTCATGAGTGAAAATAAGGTCTAGAGTATTGCCCGCTACATGTGTGGGGGAATTAGCCCACTGTGATAGCCAAGGGATGAGGTAATAGAAAGTAATTTTGAGGCTGCTGGAGTCATGGGTGAGTTAATGGGAATGTTAAAGTCTCTTAGAATTACAGATTGAATGTTAGAGGAGAGGAAGTAAGGAATCCAGGCAGCAAAGTGGTCAAGGAAGGGAAGTGGGGAACCAGGAAATATGACGGTCCCTCCATCAATCGATGCTCCTAGTGCTTACCAAGGACCATCAGCACCACATCAGACACCATAAGCACTGCAGACCCCACGAACCGCGGCAGCTTGGTTGGGGTCTTGCCGTCTCTTACCCGCCCTGGACCTACGACAAGGCTCCAGGCTCTAGTGGGTGAACCTCTCTTCCTTCCAAGAGTGAAGCAGAAGCAGCTCTTAGAAGAGCTAGTGATTAGAAGCCAGGGGAGTATACAGAGTATAGCAATCCCCAGTGTGATATAGCAGTTCCCTACAACATGAGACGAGGCTGCAAGTTGAGCGTAAGAAGGTCTGAAGGTTTATTGAACAGATTGAGTTTTTATACAGTTTTTCCCCACAAGGTTGATGCCCAGGTGAACCTTGTGGGGCACAGGATACAGAATTAACAAACCAATAAAAACAGTCTTACATGCAGACACTCCACTACAGTGTACACAATCCCTCCCCTCTGCCTGTGATACAATTAAAAAAGACAATGGGCTAACTCAATTAACCCTAAACAGAAAAAACAGACATTTTTACAAACCCCAAAAAGTACCCCAAAATACAATGTGGCGGACCTCTCTGCCTTTGGATTACTATTACTTAACCTTGATTCGTCTGTTTGATCGTTTTTTGCGCCTTTCGCCCAAATACGAATAAACTACCGAATGGCAGGCCACCCAACAGGGAACTGTGCTGCTTGTTAACCTTTCTGCCCTCATTAACAATGTGGTTAATCGCAGACACTTCCAACTCCCGAACGGTCAGCTGGGTGGCCATCTTGGACAGTCGAACGCCCAACGGTGTTTGTCGACAAACTCATGGAACTGATTTCGAACACTGCTTCCCATGAACACTGCTGAAATCACCAACCCTTCATCGTTCTGTTCAAGGTTCATACGAACGCCGTGCCATAAATTGACAATGCACGAATGGAACTGTACCAGATAGCAAAACCATGGAGTTTATTCGTTTAGTCGAACACACGATGTACCAGACTTTAACTCCGTGGCGATTGACCTGCATGTATGGGATCTGAGCGCTGTTCGGTTATATTGAGCGCTCAGATCTAAGCTATCTGGGGATACGTTGAATGTGTGGGTTCCATTTGGTATATTTGGAAATATGTATTTTAATGTGTTTTTACCATTACTGTAAAATGGAGGATATTCTTTATCCCTGTAGTTAATTGAGTTACTGCTAGCACTTAACCCAATTATCTCCAGGATAGAGAGGAGGAGTTGTGGGAGTGTTTTATACTGTAAATGTATGTGATTGGCTAATGTACAAAACTGTCTTAGTCATCCACAAGGTCCCTATGGGAGTGTCCCTTGCTGGAAGACCTGCATAAAAGGCTGACATGTAGCCCTCATTAAACAGATCCTGCTTGAACCTCAATACAGAGCCTTGTCTCGTACTTGGGGGGATAATTCGTATGTTTCCTGTTCGGCACTTAGGAGTGGAAAAGGAACAGCTTTGGCGGCGTTAACCCCTTCTCTACTCGAGGTGCCGTTACATAAAACATATCCCCACAAAAGTCATATGATAGCCCTGGTCTGGGTGAACAACATATCTAAAAAGCACCCAGATTGGTTCAGGGGTTCAGGAATTTCCTGGAAGTCTAATTTTTGCCCCACCATGCACATGGTCCCATGCCCAAAACAGTTCCATACATCGATGACAAAACACTGCTGGACAATTTAAGATGGCCGCTGACACCATGGGCGTCCGCAGGAATTTTTCCGGGGGGGGATAATTGTAATGACATCCATGCATGGTCCCTTTTTGACAGTGTCATGAAGGGGAGGAGCATAGTCATTATCACATACAGCTAGGATGAATAGCCTTTTAACAACATGTTTGTATTCCTGACACTATAGTGTTCCTTTAAGCAAATTAAAGGAACATTCTGGTCACCATAACAACTTCATCTAAATGAAAATGCTATGATGCCAGGAAGCCCCTGGGTGCTCTCTTTCCTTTAAGGGGTTAAACTGCTCTAAAATGGTTTAACCTCAAAGGCTTCCTCCAGCTCCAGATTTCCAGGCCGCTCAGTGGTATTCGGCTTCTGAAACTGAGTGTCAGGAAGTGCAGATTGATGTCGAGCATGGGTGCTACAGATTAGCTAGAGTGGTCGGTTGACGCTCTAAGCCAATCGCTAGTTCCCGGTTCATAAAAATGTTTTACTTTTTTATGAATGGGGAGCTACTGATTAGCTTAGAGTACCAGCTGACCGCTCTAGCCATTCAGCGACACCCCTACCCAACGGCACTCTGTGCTTCCTGACACTCAGTAAATAAAAGTGAACACATTAACACTGATATTTTTTTTACCTGGGGAGATGAGAAGGTCCAAAGTTTCCCTGGCAGGCCCAGGTACCAAAGCCTTATGATGTGGTGTCCAGAATAAAGTGGAGGGTTCACTTCACTTGTCCTTCCTCCTCCAATCTAATTTTCTTCTCCTTCATTTGACACAGTCTTCTTTTTCTTCTGACACTGTCTTCTCTCCTCCTTGGCTCCTTCTGCTCCTTTACCTTTCTGATACTCTCTGCTTATTGTGCTCCCCCTTCTGCTCCTTTCTCTTTCTGATCCCTTTCTGCTCCTTGCAGACCCTTTTCTGCTCCTTCTCCTACTTTACCTTCGTGCTCCTTGCTGTCCCTTTCTGCTCCTTGCTACCATTTTCTGCTCCTTTTCCTACTTTATCTTTGTGCTCTATCTGATTCTTTCTGCTCCTTTACCTTTGTGCTCCTTCTATCCCTTTCTGCTCTTTGCAGACCCTTCCTGCTCCTTGCAGACCCTTCCTGCTTATTTCTGTTCCTTCTACTTCACCTTTGTGCTCCTTCTGTCCCTTCCTGCTCCTTGCTGCCATTTCCTGCTCCTTCTACTTTACCTTTGTGCTGCTTTACCTTCCAGCTCCTTGCTGACCCTTCCTGCCCCTTGCTGACCCTTCCTGCTGCTTGCTGTAGGCTATCTCTGCCCCCCCATATGCCTCACTTCCCTGATCTGTAGGCTATCTCTTCCACCCCATATGCCTCACTTCCCTGATCTGTAGGCTATCTCTGCTCCCCATATGCCTCACTTCCCTGATCTGTAAGCTTTCTCTGCCCCCCCATATGCCTCACTTTCCTGATCTGTAGGCTTTCTCTGCCCCCCCATATGCCTCACTTCCCTGATCTGTAGGCTATCTCTGCCCCCCATATGCCTCACTTCCCTGATCTGTAGGCTATCTCTGCCCCACATATGCCTCACTTCCCTGATCTGTAGGTGTAACAGCTACCCAGGTAGTAGGAGGGAATCAGCCATTGGAGATGTCCTTTTCTTCCTGGCAAGTCGGTGTGTAGTAGCGGAGTTGCTTATTCCCATCCACTGGATCCAAGGCA